TCACTTGGCGCGAAATCGCGGAATAACAAAGTTAAATTTGTTTATTAGAACTTGACGAAGTTCTGAATTCTCGTTCAACCATCGTTGTTGCGTATTAAATTACTAAAAGTCTGCCGTGACGAACGTGCACTGCAATATTTAATTCCATCCATAAAATTCTCGAGTTGACTGATCGTAACGTTAGTTACGTCATTTCATTTTCCATTATATATGGTACGCAATAAATTGTAATTCAAGATTACGAGATGCTATTATATAATAAAACTGCTGGAACAGTTCTTCTGATCCGACGATTTATAAGTCATCGGTGCAGTCGCGAAAATTTCTTATATACTCTGGGACGAGAAGATGCATCGTAAAAGCTGCTTGGGACTTAGCATTTGAACAAGCTTATGTAAATGTTGGAGTAGTTTAACAGCGTGCACGTGGAATAGTCCGAGTTTATAGAACTCAAGGTTGATGCACTTACTAGGATAAGTAAAGGAAGGGTAAGTAACATGAAGGGAATATTGAAAGCAACGATGAACGCAGAAAAGGAGATGATATTTCAAATGAAACCAAGACGTTCCACGAATATTTGTAAAATCATGAATATTTTGATGGAAGGTCTCCTGCCTCTCTGCAAAAGTAGAGTAATTTGTTGCTTCATTTAGTTGGATACCACTAACTTTCTTCTTACAAATTACGGCTGCAATATTAAGAAAGGAATATAATGCTAAGTGAAGCGTTATCCGTTATTAATCGAGTCTTGGTGCTTGGCTCAATTAGCCATTGTTCAACATCGGTGGTGAATTTGAGCACACGATACTGGTTCCCTTATCTCTGAAAACTTTTCTTAATTGATCTGAATGCATTGGTAATTAGAGAATAACAACGACAAAAGAAAAAAAGGAAAAAAAAACAAAACATTTCCCTCGCGTCGAATTAATTCCACTTGGCAAGTTCATTGTCAGTTAAAGAGAAATCAAGCCGAAGCCAAATGAAAGCGATAAAATATAGCTGTGTACGCTGAATAAATTAGAAAGATGAAGATGCATACAAAATCATTTGAACTTTGAGTGTTGTTTAACCAATAGGATAAATTTTCTGAATCTTCTCTAAAATCAATTTACACAAGAAGCAATAAAAGAAAGATAGCCGTTATCCTTCAGAGTAAAAATTTAAAAGATCATCGCGCCATAAAGGATCGATACAGCTCGTAAAACTTCGTTTCATTCGTCAGACAATTACCCCC